TTCTTCTAAATTTTCAATTCTTAAAACTGAAATTTTTTGTTTTTGATTAATTTCTGTATAACATCCACCACGATTACTTGCAGAACTCTGATGTCTAGGTCTGTGCAATTCCAATTGCTTTATAGATTTTTGGTGTTTTAATTTTGTGATTACAAGGTGTAGTAAACTCAAAACTATCTTTATATTGTGTAAATGGGTTATATGTATAAATAAAATTTTCTCCTAAAAGGATATCACATCCAATTTTATTTGTTGCATATATTCATGGAATAAAACATTATCTATTTCCTATAATGATAGGAACATTTTCAACAAAATCTCTATAGATTTCTACAATATCATTAGCTGTTTGGCCATAAGTTGTTTTCTTATAATCTCTTTTATAATAATGTTCTGGGAACACATTTCTTTTACATAGCCAAATACCTGATCCAGTATCAATTATGGCATGAAATTTTATCATACAATAATCTGGTAAATTGAGAGTTTCTCAATATATGGACTAAGTATACTAGTTTTGATTGATCTGATTCCTAGTATCATATAAATTGATCCTTTGTTTTTATTAACTCTAGGAAGAAGTTTTTGTTTTCCTTCTATATTTATTTGTAGAGTATCTTTCTGGATATAAAATGGTGAAACATTTTCAAGAAAGTTCATTCCAAGTAATATTTGACTAGTATCTTTTACTTTTCTATAATCTTTATGGATTTTAAGATTTAATTTAAATTGTTCTCATTTTATGTCTGTGAAACTTAGTTCGAGATTAACAAATGTTCTAATTTCATATTTAATCCCGTGATAATCGGTAAGAGTTATTCCTTGTGGTAAATTCTCTTCTATTAAATGTTCTACTAAGTGTGCTCTAATATGACTAGTACTAACTCCTGTATTAACAATGGCTACAATTTCTTCTTAGTTATTTTGATGATTGATATATTCTGTTAGGATAAGGAAATTATTTTCCTCACATTTTCTTAGATCAATATCAATACTATTTCTAGGTATTGTTGGGTAATTACTAGTAGATGGTCTGCTAGAGCTTGAAATACTTCTTTCTATTCTTCTACTAGGCATTCTAGCTACAAGTTGTCCTGAGGTATTCAAGGTGACTAATCCTTGACTTCCTACATTATTGTCTATTCTTCGATATTGCCAATGAAAATCAAGCAATATATCTTGTGGTAAGGAAATGTTATTAATACTTAACATTCTTGGTGGTGTAAATTGTGTAAGGTCTCTAAAGTCTTCATGAATTTGAATGAAGTCTCTTGAGATCTTGTTGATTTACTTTTGATGCGTAGTAGTAAAGGCATATAAAACCTAGCAAATTATGTGAAAATTTATGTACCCCTAGCAAAGTCTTGAAAAGAAAGTAACAAAAGTATCAAAACCTTTTCTGCATTTGTATAAAAGTGTAACCGGAACAAGTGAATGAAAGAATTTTTGAAAGAAAAATGATCACCACAAAATTACTTTGTTCTTATTAAAATGCAACTGCAACAATTCAAAAAACATATACAGAGAATTCTCCGAATGTCACGCAATTCAAGAGTTTGTAATACATGGAAGCATGGGAAGTTCGACGAATATATAAAACTTGAAGGGAGATCATTTAATACGTTTCATCAAAATCATCATAATCACCGAGACCACCAACCCAACAATCGATTTTACCAAATTATTTGAAGAGTCGAATATTGTACTTCCATCATCATTTCGAGGCATTCGATCAGCTTCAGTTAAATTTTTGAACAATACAGACCAATGGATCATGCAATCCATCACGTCCACCACTATCCCCTTTATAGTCTGCAAAAAATTTGTAATCGACTCAAAAGAAGCATCATCATCAATTGTACCCAGAGACGGCTGATCGAGATTACTTGGAGCTGCCAAAAGCAACACAGTAAAGAATTATGTACATATCTTGTACAGAGCTAGTGGATGAATGCCACAGATACATAATCGAATTTCTTACCGAGGCTCCTGCGTGACTGGAGAAAATCCTGAAAGTCTTGGTTTTGTATCACAGCATTCCACACATTTGAATCAGCAACAATAGAAGAAACAGCATTCTAGCACAAGAGGTTAACATAATAAAATATATTGCTGCTAGTACTTCTCAATAGTACGAGGTGTTATAAAGTCCCAAATGTATTTTGTAACGATTTAAGCTTTTGCGTCTAAGTTCTCTAGTTCATCAAAGATTAAATTGAACTCTAGTACCAATTGAACAACTTTTCCAATTGGTACAAGGATTCGACTTAAGTTTCTCAAAAAGTAATTGAACAATTTGTAGTATCATCATTCAACTTAAATATCTCATAAAGCAAATGAACAACTTGCGCAATTGGTATCAAAATTCAACATATATCTCTAATAAGACTATGGTGAAACACGGACCTATCTTTGATCGGTTAATTTATTGACAAGTTCTCAATAAGACTTTAGGAGAGTACAGAAATCTACGAGGGACGAGATGGATATAGACTTTCAAAATAGACAATACATATACAAAGGCTTGAACACAGATATCGGATCGACTTATTCGAACTTTCTGAGTAAAACGAGAGGGGTCAGCAGAAAAACCTGAACTGGAGGGCTTTCATATAGAAGCTGAAATGCTTGAATAGCACTCGTAGGCAAATGTGAGTTGGACCGCAGCAATGAGCTTGGATGTTGATCTGCTACTGCCATGTCCTCATGTCGAACAGAATTAGATGAGGCTAGAAATCTGAAAATTTAAGAAAGAACCCTTAACAGTTTCAAACAATAAATAGATAATCAAAACCAGGAAGAATTCACATCCTCTCGGAACCAAGGCTTGACTAATTTATTCGCAAGAATTGACTAAAGGGAGAAAAAAATCAATAAAACAGTAAAAATCTAATTTTGTAAATTGAAAATGATTTATAACATACAATCGGCCAGCGTGAGATAGTTCAGAAGTGGCCTCTCTAGCTTCCTGAAGAGTCGGCAGTCCAATAAATATAACCCTAGGCAAAGGCTCGCCGGCTGTAACTCTCAGCTCCTCCTTCAATTGTGACGAAGAAGCCATCAGTGGCGCCTCCATCTCTGTCGGTGAGCGGGCGGACACGGCAGCAACCGAGACCGGGTGGTTCTCCACCGTGAGCTGCCGGGCACCTCCATTCACCGGTAATGTCCTAGTCACCTTTGCTACTGCCTTCATAGCGTTTGCGCCTCCCATAGCTTATTACTCCAGCTTTTCTTGATAAGAGACTCTCTGAGCCTGTACTAAACAAAGGGTTAGGTAACAAAAAGAGTAAAGTGATAAGAGTGTGGACAGTGAAAGAAAAATTAAAATATATCAATTTTTTAATTCATAAAATTGATTGATTTTTACTTTCTTTTTTAATTGGTAAAAAATCCGTATTTTTTAATCAGCGGTCGATCTCGACCATTTAAAGTAAGGGATGAAGGTGGAGTTAGATGATTGGAGATGTGAGAGAAATGAAATGATGGTGCTTGGTCGTGGAGAGAAAGAAAGCAAGTCTGAGATTCCCCATTAAATTGACTTGGTATTTGGATAAAGAATAATGTTATTCAATCAAGTGGGGATGAAAATACAGTTTATCGACGTTAAATTATAGGTTAAATGAAATGTGAAATTAAATGACTTATTTAATTTCACATATTATTTAATACCGCATTAACGCCACGTAGACTGTGTTTTCATTTCCAATGGGATAAATAGCATTACTACATAAACTGTATTTTCATCCCTAGTGGGGATGAAGAGCATTACTCTTCCATAAAGTAATAGTTAAAAATTATTAAATGCTAGATTCAAAAATAATTTATATATCCTTAAATTTTATTATATCTATAATTTGATGTAGTTATGTTGCACCATATATTGATGCTAAACACTAAGACCATGTTTGATACGAAGAATTTTTCATGGAAATTGGGAATTATTTTTTATTTTCCAGTTTTTAGGCTATTTGACAGAAAGTTTATTTTTCAGGAAATTGGTTTTTCAACTTATACCTCACGTGATCCAATTTTCCACATTTTCCTTGATTTGTCCATGGGTTTGGTGGTTTTTTTTTTTTTTGCAATTGAAACAAATACTATCATTTAATGAACAATTTTTATAGAAAACAAAATCAAATGAATACCAAAAGATTCAAATTTTCAATATTTTCAAGTGAAAATTTATGCCAATCAAACACAATTAATTGACAATTCTCAATAAAACAAGTTCTAGACAATTCAATTATCTGGAATTCATTTTCTTTCCACCCAAATTTCATTATTACAATCAAACAGACCCTATTAATATTGCGTAGAATTGTTCTAAATATATAGGGTCTGTTTGAGCTAGATTTTAATCTTATTTTAATTTAAGTCAAAGTCAAACAATCAATATCAACCACATATTTTATGAGTTCCACATCTTTTTAACCTCACATTTAAAAAATTTCTATCACAATTCACTTAAAATCTGATTTTAATCTACACCAAACATCCTCGTAATGTCGTGGTCGGCTAAACCATGAAGGCATCAACACAGTTGCCCAAGCCCGTAGGTCTCAAAATTTGAAATTTATGTATTTTAGTTTTTTTTCCTTTTTAATAATGAATAGTTTTATTAAGAAAAATAATGAAGAGAAACTCAAAATAAAATCCAACCTAAACAATAACATTTTTTTTCGTTTCTCCTATTGCCAAAGACTTTTGGATTATAATCAAAGTAATAAATCTTTGAATTACAATTTAAAACTGGTAATTGAATCATTCATTTTGAATAACATACCTTCATAGTATTCTATTGTTCCTGAATTGGTTTTGATAATTTTACTAAATTGGTGCTTCTTTAATTCTGATAATAATCTTCTCTATTATGAATACATAATCGAAAATAATTCTATTTTTCATGGTTTATGCTTGTCGATCTTAAACATGATTATATGTATTTTATACTTATAGATACTTGTGTTTTTGTTATTGTTATTTAAAATTTTATTTGTTCCTCGAGAAAACAATATGATCTTGATTCTTGATAAGCTTTGGATAAAAGCATATAACATTTTCATTATTCTTGCAAGTGTAGTGTTCATTAGTCTATCGTGTTTGATTTTTTACTGAATTATCGTACTTTCGAATTATACTAGATAATTTTTTTTAGTGTTTGATAAATCAACTACATCACAAAAAAATTGAATGAATTAATTATATTGTCCATTGAATATGATTTTATTAAATGAACTTGACTATGGAGTTAATCAACATAGAAATACAGAGGGCAAGAAAATTAGATTTTACATAAAACTCAACATGTAGCTCAAGACAGATTTGTAACATGAAAATAGGCCTTTTGTTGGTTTAATGCTTTGTTTCGTTTCGACCTACTATAAAGTGTGTTTAATTGACTTTATTTTCCATGAAAATTAATGTCATTTTTTTAAATTTAAATTCATACTTTTAGGATGTTTGATTGACATTTTTTCATTATTTGCTTTACATGCAAGTTCCGTGCTCAATTGTCCAAAATATATTTTCTTTACCAGCAAATTCTATGCTTGCAATTAGAGATGGCAAAAAAAAAATCGCATCGCCCGGCCCCGACGGTGCCCCGCCCCGAATGGGGCGAAAAAAACCTCCCCGAGCGGGTTGGCAGGGCGGGGCGGGGATGCCC